ATATATATATACATACACACATATATACACACACATATACATATAAAAATTATACAGCATTCATAAAGCACCAACAGTTTGTGTACCACTTTACAAAATAAAGCTAGATAGTACAGTTCCAATACAATTCAAGACAAGAGTGTTAGGAGGGCCCTGCCTATGAGAGCTTCCAATCTAAGATAATAAAGCAAACTTGAATGTGCCTGCAGCAGAAACGGGAGCACTCCGCACATGACAAAGCAGAGGTGGCGGTGAGGAGCAGGTGTGCGCACGGCAGACCCGTCTAGCTGGCTCCAAAGCAGCATGAACTAGGGCAAAGGCAGGTACATTTCCAGTTTTACTGTACAGAACACATCTCAATTCGGCCAATGCGAGCTCAATCAGATTCAACTCTGAAACCACTCTGCAACTTGCCGGACTGCAAATCAAATCTTACATTGTGCAGAATTCCTGTTACTAGTGCTTTCTTTCTATTATTAATACACAGCTATCAGACCAAGCCCAGTATGTTTTCACTTTATACACCGTAGAAGAAAATGTTGGCACTGCATAAAATCAAAAATGATTAAAATAACCACAATGACAACCTACGAACAAAGAAACCAGTTCAAACCCAATATAGTCACTGACTAGCCAAGTACGGCAGACACAGGCCTGAAGCTATTCAGTGGACAAACTCTAATAAAAAGAGCACAAAAGAAAGAACACAAAAGATTTTTTTTAAAGGCTGCGGATAAAACCACTTACTTAGAATATCGTGCATTGTCCGATTTCAGTATAAATCCAAAAAGATTTCCAGTACAAATCACAAATGGTATACAGTAGTTCCAAAAAAAGTGCTAAAAGTCCAAAATTCTCCAGTGCTGAACAAAGCGTCAAGTTAGCGTCCCGAGTCACGTAAATCCCATGCAGGTGAAATTTTGCCAGGACCGACCGAGCTGTTTCTTTGCGGGGAAATCAGTGGGCAGAGGTAGTGCAGTGGAATCTAGTCCTTCATATCCAGTTAATGATTAAAAAGTGAAGGCGATTTCAGTACAGTACTCGGAGGGGAGGGAGCGAGGAGAGAGAGGGGGTGGTGAGAGCCTCTGGCTTGCACGTCTCTCCGAGATAAAGATCTCAGTTTCATGATTAACTCGAGCAGGTTCAAATATTTGCTGAGCTATGGATTTTGAGTGGGGGAGGGGAGGGGAGAGAAGAGGCTGTCAATCACAGTGAAAGCTGTCATCAGCTAACAAGTGGCTGATGTGGGGAGCACGCTGGTTTTAGCTCGGTAACTGAGACTGCCATTGTGCTGGGACTTAAAATAACCTCTGTCGCTGGCTGCAGCTCACAGCGTCCAAGAGGTGGGCAGCCGAGCTCCGTCAGCAGCCAGATTCAGGAAGTGGCTCGCCTTACCGGCAAAAAATAGCAGCAAAGAACTGGCGTGCAAAAAAGGTTTGTACCTCCAAGAAAGAGACTGGCGTGTCTGTACAGAGTCCCCCCTTCCCTCCGCCAGCCCCAGACAGCATAGAACAGGTACACGGCTGCTGCTTAACCTCGGCACGCAGCATGCTCCATGAGCCCCGTGACTAATCGGTTTACTGCAGGAGCACAGATGTGCATTGTGCACGTACTCCTTCGTGACACGCCGGGCAATCTGCTGCACATCTCTCTGTGACACAATACTGCTCCCTATAATCTACTGCAAGCCATTCAGATTCACAGCCACGCGTAAGACACAAAGGATGATTGCTACGGATTGATGTGTATCTGGGTTTCAGGCGTATGTTTAATGAGATCAAAGGTCTATATGGCGGTTTAGCGACCCAAACCGAATACGCCATATAAAAATGTCAATGCGCAGACATTATGTCCAAAACCACTTCAATCTTTTCAGGTTTAATCGTTTTAAAATCTATCAGCTCCAACAAGACACGTTTACATCAACACAGAACACCACCACCACGTGTCAATAAAATGACATGTGTAAATGAAAAGGACACTTCTATTTAGCTAAAGATTAGGGGGCCGTTCACACCAACCATTGTTTTTTTTTTTCTGTTTTGCAATTTGCTTTTTTGGTTATAACTTTATTGAAATGCCAGGAGTGACATTTCAATAGGTTCTATAGGCACAGTGCAGTGTGATGTGGTACCACTTCACACCACAATTAAAAAATAAAAAAGTACAGCATGCCATGAACTGTGTCCATTTAAAACTACCATGTCTATGCTGGAAGAAGCGGCCAGTGTGGCCCCAACACTTCTGGTGTGAACGGGCCCTTAAAAAGAGAACTGTGCGGTGAATGAAAATCACTCAGCCTCATAGTTCTAGCCGACCTGTGACAATGTAACTGTCACACGTCGGCTCAATAGATCGGGAAGTGAGCGAACACATGGTGTCGCTCGCTCACTTCTCAATCATCTCCATGCAGAGAGCCGTGAGTTACAGTCACAGCTCTCTGCATAGAGATGATTGAGAAGTGAGCAAGCTATGTGGTGAAGAGGACCCAGTACACGTGCAGGTTTGTAATTTGGTCCTTAAGCCTCATTCACACAGTCGGTGGATTTTACTGCCCCTCTGAAAAGTAATCTACCATGGATCGCTTTTTTTTTTTTAACGGCGGATTGTAGACGCTCAGGAGACAATACTGCCACCCCAACAATATCCAGGGAGGGGGGTTTACTGTACACTGAAATTCCCAGCCAAAA